TATAAATGTTAATTTTTATATTTTATTTCTATGAAAAGTAGTAGTTAATAAATAGTTTCTTTAATATTTGAACTAAAACGTATGTTTATAGTCTTTCTTCTAACCATTGGGCTCTAATATTTTCTATATTTTTAAATTAATGACGAATCAAGACCTAAGAAACCCTCCCACAACTTCAATTCTGTTGTTTTTACATTCCAAATAAGTGTAATTCTTTATTTGTGAGTTTACTTAAACCTCAAGTAAAAACACAAATTTAATTTGAATAAAAAAGTACTATAAATCCTTCGAGATTCAGCTCTTTAAATCTTATTCTCGCCATAAAGTATCCATTAAGGACCCCATTACCTTGTCAAACTCAAATCCTTTGGCTACAAATTGCAGGCACCAAGCTCAGACCAGCTTTTTTTCTCTCCCTCTCTCTCTCTCTCTCTGTATCTGTAAGATATACATACCTTATATAACAACGCCCCAAAACGACTCTCCTCCCAGCTCACGTGTGTGTGTGTGTACATAGACACCTACGGGACACATATACATACCAAACCTTTCAACCAATGGGAGCTGCTCGCATATGTACAAGCATATGGGTATCCAAAAGATTGTGTATCTCTGTATCTGTATTTCTTGCAACTGTTTTCGGTGTCGGTTTGTGTTTCGTTTTAGGCTCTTAGTTCGTGCACTGCAAAAGGGAACTTGTATCTATAGTAATTGCATAATTAAGTACATAATTAAGAGGCTCCCCCCTCACAGTTTGTTTAGTTTTAATTTGTGTAAATTGCGGCACTCTCTCAGATACAGATCGCGCGTGTCCAAAGCGAGGGGATTATTAATTGAATTAGCGACGATCCGAAGAGGATCTGATAATTAGCGGCTGCTGTTCCCCAACAGACAGGAAGTTGACAGCTAATTGACAAGTCCAAATGGAGATGAAGCCCTCTTTTTTATATTTCCCTCCTCCTAAAAGCTATAACCATTAGCTATGATTAACACTCAATGTTTCTATATCAAAAACCCAAATCATAATTTGCATATTAAGGGGGAGGGAGACTAAGAGTATCCTGTCCTAGTGACACATCCATCAACATATTTCGCACGATATTATTGACAAACGGATAAGGGATATAAGGTATATATATACACGATAATATGTGGGATGTGGCGCTTTCAAAAAGTCAGTTTCCCAGGCACCATCAAGTGGCACATCCTTATGCCCTTCAAGCTTCCCCAGGATATATCACACCCCCCACAAAATCACGGTAAATCACGCTAATAAGTGCAAGTGTATGGCCCTCTTTACCCTTGCGGAATATATTTAAGTAAATTGCATGTTTGGCACACATTCCCGTGTCCTTCAGCTCGCCCCGTCGAACAGGAACAGAAACAGGAACAGGAAAAGGAAGCCTTTGCCTTTCTGAGGGGTTGCAGCACATCACACAAGCAACAACGATTTTTCACTTTTGTTTTTGTTTAATAGGGCATGCGAAAATATATTTCACAGACATCACTTAACCCTCATTTAGGATGAGAGCTCCTTGTACTCCTCTCATCATTTGTCTCCATTTGCCACTCTCTGGCCTCTGGGTTTTGGGTGTTTTCCACGGGGCATCTTCATCAGTCTCCGAATAGCCAATTTCGGAGCTTCAAGCCATGTGAGGCCGTCTCCTTGACTCAACTTGACTTGACTGATGGGAGCTTCTTCATTTGTCACTGTAACGCGCGATGCGGCCTCAAAAATGCTTTTCCCGCATGCCAGCCAGACTTGGAGTTGGCCAACACAATCCTAGGTGAGGAGGGGAACTTTAAGGGGGGAGGATATATATATATATATCTATGTACGTATAGATATATATATGTTGCCGCCTGCTGGACATATCCCAGTTTCCTTTGTCAGTCTGTCAGTCAGCTTGCCAGACTTTCAATCGTTGAACTGTGGAAGGAAATGTATTGTTTTAGAGTTTAAAGTGTAATATATGAATTAAATATATATATAATATATTATACCTACATTTTATTAAGATTTAGGGTTTAAAAAGAGGTTTTACTATCATTATAATTTGCTTAAGATGTGTTATTAACTTGGTAATAATGAAACAAGCTTAGAAACCTTTAGAGACTTGTTAGACCTAAGGTGTGTAAGAAGTAAAAAAGTGTGAATTGTCGATTATAAAGTAGAATAGTACATTAATATAAAACGGTGCTTAATTATTATTTATGAATCTAAAGATAAGTTAAGATGGAACGAGCTTCGAAACTGTCGAATAACTTTATTGTTGCAGAGTCTAACCAGTCTAGACTCAAGCTCTTCAGGGAGTCAAGTTTCAATCCTTCTTAAGGATTTATTTGCAATAAATTAGTATTATATTTATATTTATTTATTATTATTAATATTAATATTTATACACAAATTTATTATTTTTATATTTATCAATCTTCAACCACTGTCTCTGAGCCCTGTGTGAAGGCAGCGTGTAAAAACCTGTCAAATGCCTGAAATACCAAAAATAAAGCCATGCGAATCGATGCGATCCAAGTTGTTGGCCCGATACGTTGGAGGTTTTGATTTGCAGAGCCATCGACATTTTCGTCATCATCGTCTGGGACATATTGGTGACAGAAAGAAAACTAACTTCGGGTAGACGAAGATTATATACCCTTGCAGATTGCAATTGAATTATAGGACATAATCGGAAATCGATCGCATTCTTTGTATCGATATTTATACATATATTAATATGACAATTTTATCGATAAATCAAATTTTAAAAATCTGATAACTAGGCCAAAAAAGCATTCGTTTTAATTCGGAAAGATTTGCTATGCGCTAGTTTTTGTTAGCCTAATAAATCTACATACTTTACTTAAACTGTAAAAAAAAGACAATTTTTGCCAATTTCAGTGATGTAACCTCTTATAAAAATGTAAAAAAATTGGCAAACATTTAATATCTTTCCTACATGCCTAGAAAGATTCGCCTGTTGATGCTGATCAAAAATATATATGATTCTTAGGGTAGGAAATGACTCCTTCACTGCGTTATACGTTTCTGACTAAAATTAAAAAAAGGAAGTGAAGTTTTTAATTTTAATTTAAGAATTAAAAAAAAAAAATGTTAATAAAGATCATAACAGTAGCTATTGTTTAACTTATTATTACTTATTATTCACAAGAACAGCTGTTATTTTTGTAAAAGTTATGATACGAATATGTATCTTTTTAGTTTCCGAAATACCTATATTAATGAACCGCTTTTTAATCTCTAAACAAAAAGAATATATCATTTTCCATACATCTTTTCAAGATCATCTGATCTATAAAATCCCAAACCCCCATTCGAAAGTGTATAAAAACAGTTCGTGGAAAACACTACACTCGGGGGATTGAGGGGAATCCGTATCCAGATCGAATCCAGCGGATGAAGCGCGCCTGGCGGTCTGGTGGACTTGGAAGCGATGCCTCACGATGGAGTTTATGTGGGGCCTTAAAACGATCAATGAAGTCTCCTTCTATTGTGGCTTTCGATTGTCGCTAAACTGATGACTGACTGACTGCCTCTGGCAATTGCCAGGTCTTTGTATTTGTGTTTCTTTTACTTATTTCCAAGACCTGTGGCGTGTAGTTGCTGGTTTTTCCTTCGAACGTTTTGGCATTTGCGGCATGGCGCTAATTAACAACTGCCGGTGCTTTTAGCCACTTGCCGGGGCCTGGAACTGGAGCTTGGAGCTGGACCAATTGTTTTGATGATAAACATTTTTATTGATTTGTGATGATTGCCGCCGCAGCAGGAGCAGGTGCAGATCGGATCGGATCGAAACGGATCGGATCGGTCGGTGCCTTTTTACCATTGCAATTTATTAAATGCGATTTATTTGCAATTGCTTCCCAGAAGCAGGAGGTGCTGACGAGATTAGCCGTAGGCCTAAGAGATTCCCCCAGACCCTTCGCTGGAGTGTTCCGGGAAACAGAAGCGTCAGAAAAATGTATGTGCTGGAGCTGGGGGCCTTTGGGGTAATTGCCACCGGTCTTGCTGATAGAGATCACCCAACTGGGATGCCAATTTGTTGTGTGTCTTTTTTGGCGAGGTTACCCTGTTGCGCACCTTTTTTATGGCCGTTACGTGTCGCGCTTGCCGAAATAAACCAGAAACGAAATATTCGCCATAAAATTGTTGGTCTCCAACGAGAAGGAGAGACCTTCCCTCCGCATGACGAGCGGCGGCTCATGTTGTGTCAGCTTCCATAAAAAACGGGGTATAAAAAACAGACGAAAATTCTCTTATCAGATTTTTGACTCCCAGCCAGAGAGAGAAGCTTCTAAGTAAAGTCATAAAAATATCTTGCTTTTGGTTTCAACTTGTGTTTGATTTATTTACTAAATATTCTTTTTTTCTTTAGGTTTATATATATATATTTATATGCTACACATTAAAAATGTTTTGGTGCTTATGTAATTGTATAATCGTTTATTACATGGTTAATTATTGTGTAGTACAATACAATACAATACAATTTATATTTATATATGTATAAATACTGAATTAAAGGCAAGGCCCTATATAACATTTAAATCATAAAATTGAGAATAAATAGCCGTTTTGAATCTTTGAAAAACTATCACACACAAATGCTTTTCTTTTTTGTTTATATTTTTTTCTTTTTGTCTAAGGGTACACTAGGCGTATGTGTAATATGTTTAATGTTTAATGCTTTTTGACATGAACTTAATCATTTATGCAGAGTTTATCTTGGTTACAATTATATGTGCTTAGTTTTATATTTATTTTCTATATAAGTTAATACTAAACTGTTCCTTTTTTTGCTTTGTTTTTTAATAAGTGGCAAGATTTACTCAAAGGAAGTTCCCAGAAATGTTTATAAAAAAATAAATAAAAGCAAGTTTGGAAACAGTCTTGTTTTAAAATACTAAGAAGGATCCTTTACAGCTCCAGAGATTCTCAAAGTCTTCCAAGGACTGAATCTCAATCATAATCTTTTCCTTCTCTAGGCGCTACTGGTGGACCTTTCCATTTGTGAACCCATCTCATTGGTTCTTGTCTCATGCGGCACCTGCTCCACTTCTATGTACTCCTCATCTTCTTGAGGATTCTCTTCCGGCTCATCTTCTCCTGCTCCCGACTCCACTGTATCCGTTTCGTAGAGTTCCTGCTTGACATTGATTGTGGGACTGCGACTCCTGGAAGGAGGACTCTCGCAGATGGGTGAACTATTCCTAATTGAGGGTGCCTCCACCTTCGGCATAGGTGGCCGCGTTGCCTGTGGCCTCAGCTCGTGACTCCTCTGATGATGCTCCAGCTCCGCCCGGAAGTAGAACTTCTCCGGACACAGGCTGCAGTCATAGGGACGCGAATGAGCACCATGCTCTGCCATGTGATTGAGTAAACCCCCCGGTGCTGTAAATACCGCTGAGCAGATGTAGCAATTGAAGCCACGCTGCTCGGTGCCCGCAAAGGTGTGCTCCACCAGGTGTTCTTGGAGCTTCTGGGCATGCGGCAGGATCATCTTGCACAGGTTGCAGCGGTTCTCCACATAGGCGGCGCCTGATCCTGATCCTGCTCCTGCTGATGGAGGTGGCTGCAGCGACTGCTCACTTGGCTTACCCCGCTTTCCATTAAGATTGTGCTTGCGACAGCATTTCTCACACAGCTTGGCTGGACCCTCGACTGGTACATCGGGCAGTGGTTCCAGGCACAGAGCACACACTGGCTCCTGGAGGCTACCTCCACTGGAGGCCGACTTGGTGTGGAACTTGGCATGCAGACTTAGCTCAAACTCCGAATGAAGGGTCTGGCGGCAGCAGATGCAGGCCAAGGGCAGGGTGGCACCATCACTGCCATGCTCCGAGAGATGAGCCCTAAAGGCAGCCACATCCTCGAGAGGCTGTCCACAGTGGGAACACTTGCCAGACTGACCCACCTTCGAGTGCTGCAGCTTGTGCTCGGCCAGGATGGCCGGCGAGGGAAAGACCTCATCGCAGATCAGACACTTGTGCTTGCCCGTCGAATTGTGACAGCTCTTCATGTGCTGCTCCAGCTCCGCCCGGGACTTGAAGTTCCCGGCACAGTAGGCACACCTTAAGCTCACTCCTGTTTTGAGATTATGGGCCAACTTCCGGTGAGAGTGGAGTTCCGCCTCGCTGCGCAGATCCTGACGTTCGCACATTCCACAACTGAAGGTGGCAGCTGTTGGAGCAGCACTCGGTGGAGCACTTGGCGGAGCACTAGCCTGTGGTGGCTGTGGATTACCCTCGTTTCCTCCCGCCGGCGAGGTGGACTTGGCGGCATACATCTCCATCAGATAGCGCTGACTCAGGCCATACATGAGAGCGGGATGCGGTGAGGTTTGAGCCTTCAAGGCATTGGTGTCCACCTGCAGGGGACTGTAGAACTTGTTGCCCGTGGGTGGGGCTGCTCCAGAGCCTCCTCCTGAACCTGATCCCGCTCCAGAAGCTGCTCCTCCTCCTCCACCTGCTCCTCCTCCACCTCCAAACAAACCCTTGAAAGCCACATTGTAGTCAATGATGCTGCTGTTGTTATTGGTGGCCGCTGCTGCAGCTGCCGCTGCTGCCAGGGGAGGCAACAAGGCATTCACATAGAGACTCCCCATGTTGGGTGAGCCACGTTGCTGCTCCTTGTCCTTGACGCCGCCACCATGCTGACTCTGCATATGCCTATCCAGCAGGAACTCCACGTGGAATGTCTCCGGGCAGGAGGGGCATCTAAACTGCCTTGCATGTGCCGCCAAATGGAAGTGCATCTCCAGCTCCGAAGAGCACACAGCCCGGCAGAACATACACTGCAGGGGATTGGCCGGAGCATTGGGTGTGGCTCCGAGTGAGGGATGTCCTCCCAGCTGGTGACGCGTCTTCACATGCACATGGAACTCGGCATCGGAACGGAAGAGCTCCAGGCAGGCGCTGCAACGGAGTAACTTCGTCTCCTGGCTGTGGGCACAGGCCAGATGCAGTTGCATGGCCATCCGACTCTCGCAGAGCTCCGAGCATAGGGAGCACTTCAGCAGGGTGAGTACATGTTCGGACAACAGATGCTGCTGCAGATCCTCCGACTTGGCAAAGCTCTTGCCACAGCTGGAGCTGCAGTTAAACTCCGATCCGGTGATGAGGAAGTGTCCCACCACATGACGCTCGAACTCCGACTGCTCTGGCAGACTCAATCCACAGTGGGGACACACCATTTGCATGCCTTCGGCAATATGACTCTTTAGGTGATTCCTGAAGCTCTCGAAATCCGGCAGACCGGCATTGCATTGATTGCAAAAGAACACTCCAGGAGGAGCTGCCGGAGGAGCCAATTGTTGGGCCTGCAATTGTTGGGTATTTGTGGGTGTCTGGGATCGCCTCTTGTTGCTGCTCAAATCGGTGGGCAGATCCTCCTCAACCGCACGCGTGGTCTCCCTCTCCGGACTGCCCAAATCCGGTTTGATTTTGGGCAAATCCAGGGCCAGACGAGGACTGAATGTACCAGCAGTGGCCAGGCGATTGAAGTGCTCGTAGTAGGAGTTTGGACTGCTCAATCTGTCCAGGTGAGTGCTCCTCATGTGCTGGAATAATCCAGCTATATTGGTAAACTTCATGGTGCAATATTCGCAGCTCAGCTGGAAGCCTTCACTCTCCGGAGCCACTGGTGCCTTTGCTGGATGCTGATGCTGCTGCTCGTGGACACTCTGCAGGTGGGCATTTAGCTGCTCCAAGCTGGTAAACTCCGTGACCTTGGGACAATAGCTGCACCTGAGCAAGGGTGTGGGTGTGGCTGTTGCAGTGGTGGTGCCACCTCCATTACCACCCACATGACTGCTCCTCGATCTCTTGGGGTAGTCCAACCTACTGGGACTACTATCCGAAGCTAGAGCTAAAGCATATCGCCTCTTTTGAAGACTTCCATTGCTGGAGACCGAAGCCGAGGCTGATCCCGTGGATCGCGGACTATAGTTCAGGGCATTGGGATTACCCCCAGCTGCCAGGATGGCTGCATTCTTCTTATGCTTTTGCATGTGCGAGGTCAGAGCAGCTGCCGTATTATAGCCTCTGTTGCACATGCTGCACTGGAACGGCTTCTGGATGTCGTGCGTCTTCATGTGGATCTTCAGGTGGTCACTAATGAGTAGAGAGAGAGAGAGTAACGAGAATTCCTAGACTTAGTTATGGTTATACATTAATTTTTGGCAGAGATGGAATCCTACCTCCTGGAGAAGGCTGCCTCACAATGGGGACACTTGTAGTTACGCTCGTTGGTATGCAGCTTCTTATGGCGATCACGGGAACGCTTGTGCTTGAACAGCTTCGAGCAGTATTCACACTTGAAGGGCAGGTGTTCGGCGTGGCTCTGCAATAAGAAACACAAACACAGATTCGGAAAATGCCATTAGCATAAAGATAAAGATAGATAATCTGAGCAATTAGCTGCCAGAGACCCCGAGGGTAGCCAAAAGCCTATTTGAAATTCTTAGAAGAGCCCCAGACAACCGCCGAACAAACTGTCTACCCCAGTTAAAAGTTGCGACAACGATGACAACGATGACGACGTCCTGGCTTGAATTTATAGATGCGTCAATCTGAATCTGAATCTGCATACCGACTGACTCGACTCCGACTCCGACTCAGACTCAGACGAGTAGGTGTTGTTTCACTTGCCACTCGTGGCTTGTGGACAAAAATTCATCTAAATGCGCGACGCCGCACGCTTGGAAAACCACACGAGGAGGCGGCGGAAGGCAGGTGCTGTGCTTGTACACCCGCAACCGGTTTGCTTTTTGGGTTCTTTCTGGGCGTCGGCACTTCAGCTTTGAACTTTCCAGAGCGGCAAAAACAAAAAAATTAGCCCATTTGTATGCAGTCCCCCAGCTTTGGACTGCCTTAAAATTGCACAATATATGATGAGTTAGTCGCCGCATCTTCAGTCCTCTCGTGTTGGTTATGGTTTTTTAAACTGTCGCACATCATCAACCCCACGAATCCAAAAACCAAATTCCGATCCGTAGCAGCTCATCCAGGCGCTAGGATCAAAGCCGGACTGCTACATGTTAGACCCCGGATAAAGATCGGACTCGGACTCGGATTCGGACTTCGGTTGGTCGGTAGTCCTAAACAGCAGTTGCAATTGGGTTAACAAGTTTGCTGATGTCATGGGCGGTGTTTTGCGGCCAAAAAGCATTAAAGCTGAATTAGAATACACAAGAGGAAAGGAGCATTGTGGGTGAGAGGCGGCTACCACAAAGACTTTCGATCTTGGGAGGTTCTCTCTTTGATGTGGCTTTCAGATTTGCCGAAGGAGTTTTAGATATGGTATGATATGATATTATAAAGAAAGGTCTATACCAAATACACTTGATCCTAAACTGTGCATAGATTTTGCTGTCATAAATTATACCCTTATAGAAGTTCTTTTAATGAAATATGCATCTTTAATTAGTTTAGAAGACAGTGAGTTCGTTCTAAAGTTCTTATCAACACTTTCAGAATACCTTCTTGGGTGCTATAAGTCAAAGTTACTATGCCTAATTTTATTCAGTAACCTTTTACCTTTACCTTAAATACTTCTCTTGAAATAATTCCCTCAAGAAACAACCCCTTCAACCTTCTAACTTTTACCACTTTCCATTTCAATTAACAAATTGAAAAGCCCCCTTTAACCACCTTTCGAATAAAAGACAATCGATATGACTAACCGCAGATTGTCAATCAAGTCTCAGTCCTGACACCCTGAAAGCCTAAAGGTGTAAAGCTGTAACCCCTAGACTGTCACCTCAATCAGGGAAAGTCCCCAACAAGGCTCACCCAAAAATAGACTAAGCGCCTTACAAGTATGTCAGGCAGGGTAATTAAGAACTTTGTGCCAGCCACCCAACAACCCTTTGGAGAAAGGGAGTTGCCGTGACCTCTGAACCCCCAATGAAGACTCCCACACTCACCTGCACGTGATGCTTCAAGTAGCCGAGACGCGGAAATGACTTATCGCAGAACTGACACTGATAGGAGCCGTCGCCGCGGGCCTTAATCCCCTCGCCTGTCAACTTATCAAACTTGGAGCCTGCTCCTCCGGCACCAGCACCACCGCCAGCTCCCATTTTGGCTTCTTTATTGATTTTGCGCAGCTTGTTGGCGATTTTCAGCGCCTGCTGATGGTGGTAATGATGATGGTGATGATGATGGAAGTGTGGCAATCGCTTTGGTTTGGCCAACTCCTCGCCATCGTGGCCACCATTGAGTTTGCCCTCGGACGAATGATGATGATCTTCTTGGCCCGAGGCGGTGGCAGAGGTGGGAGCTCCGGGCAAATGGTGGGAATTGGGCGTCATGGTGCCATCCGAAATGCTAGGCGAGTAACTGGATGATGTATGGGTACTGTACATGTCTGGAAAACAAATCAAGAGAGGTTTTAATTACACTCAGGGAAATGGTGAGGGGAATGCTTGAAATTATTTTAAAAGAAATTGAATTAGAGGGGAGAAAGTGAAGAGGTATTGCATTTTATACTTTAACCCAAAACACAAGTTAATAGATAGTTTTAATTAAGCTTCTTTGAGATCTTTTGACTTCCAAGACTTAAAAAATAAAACTATCAAGTTTATTAACCATAGGGAGCTCAAATAATTATGTCTTAATTATTCTGTTATTATTTCTAAGGCGGCTTTTACAATTCTCGAAGTGTAATTGAGGCCTCATCGAGTGGGAGGCTGCATCCTGATTAGCGGCACTTTGGGGACCGCAAACCGGGGACCGGGACAGGAAATCAACGTCGGCTATCAAATGCTGGACACGGAATTAATTCAATTAGCAGACGACACCCCAATCCAGTCCATCCAAGTGTGAGCTGGTGTTCTGGGGACAAACTTTCGAGCGAGTCTCATGCAAACTAATTGCGCTTTGTTCTTAGCTGCGGTTTTAATTACAGTCCCAGCATCCCATCATCCCGAGATCCATGAGGGTCACTTGATTCCCTCTACATATAACCACGCGCCAAGTGCCGATGTTCACTTTCCGTTTTCGACAACTTTTAATTAAACCCAATTGCGCGTGATCTTTGCCTCTGTATCTCTTTTGATATAAAACACATAATAATGCATTGGGTCAGGGAATCTCTCGCTGTCTGTCGCGGTTTATTTAACCCCAACTCTGGTCAGTTCTGATCTAACTTCCCTTTCTCTCTAATTGGAAAACATCCGCAAGATGCGTCCACTGGATGCACTTATTAACCCATCTTGAACTTAGAGGTTAAAGAAAGTTGTAAGAGATTTGAACCCATTCAGATTTGATTGAAATGTTGGTTGTAAGTAGTTATGGGGACAAGAAAGTCAAGTGTCTAAGAGATTGATCGAGAAAAGGGAGATCTTGTTTGGGTTTATATTAAAGATTTGTGGAAGATTCTGGGATGCTAACTAATTGGAGAGAAATTGTTGTTAAGACAAATCTAATTATTGATGTGAATTTTGATTTAGAGTAGAGGAATCTTAGTTTCAGAGAATATATATATCGATATAAGAAAATCTATGCTTTGTATCTATCCTTTGGACATATACCATACCTTACAAAAAGGGTACATCATACATCTTGAACTTACATAATTATCCTTAAATAGTTCTCTAAAACTCAAGCTCGGATTAAACACATTCGATCTTTAATAGTTAGACTCTATTTTAAAATACTTTTATAACTCTTATATATAAAAACCCATTTCAAAACCCCTTACATTCTGGTTCTGGTTATTCTTCAGATTCTGAACCCTAAATTCATTATATTTATAACAATGCTTACAAAAATTAACAATATTCCGAGGAAAAGAAATACCGTCGGCATATGAAGTTTAAACTTTAAAACTAAGACAAATAGTTAAAGAATTTTAATAACAAATTACATTAATTTTTCACATTGTTTAACAATGAAAAGTAATTTTTTCCTAAAAACAACAAATTAAAATGGCTTTTAAACAGAGTTATTAATCACTTTTAACCAACAAATTATGGATTGATGTTTTCAGGCTTTTAGAAACTTTATAATATATTAAACAGACCCATCAACACTTTAATTACAACTAATTCAAGTTCTAAAAATCTCCCCTTATTTACCGCTATTGGTTATCTCCTTGGTGGCCTGGATCTTTTCAATCAAATTCTCCAAACGCGAACTGGGACCGCGATATAACATCTTTAGGGCCATCATATCAAGGCATGGTCTTTTTCAACTAATTAAATTAATTAATACAAATTTTAAATTTCACTAAAAATCACTTAAGAGGCACTTGAACTGCACTTCCTTGGGGGAGAATATTAACCACTTTTAGTCTGAGATCCCTTTGCGGCACCAAAGGATCATTATTTATGGGTTTATTCTCCTTTTTTGAGTGTTGTTTTTCTATTTTTTGTTTTCGTCGCGATAACCGAAGGACGTCCAATTGCCGCGAGCACCAAAATGTGAATAAAATCAGAGCCGCAAAGCGAAAGACGACGACCGAGTGCCAAAGAGCCCAAGGAGAAGAGCAGAGCAGCGGGCGACGACAACTAGGCGAACTGGTTCTGCCCTGCGTGTGTGTGTGTGTGTGTGTCTATGCGAGAGTGTGTCTGTGTGTGTGTGTGTGTGCCTTTTGGGATTCTCATCCAACAAATGGGAAAGCAACAGCAACGCCAATTTAAATGGCGCCCCCACCCCACCCCCACTAACACTCGCACACAGCGCTCATACGGTAGAGTGAGCGAGAGAGCGCCCTGTATATAAGCACCACACACTGAGAGCCCCGAAGCCGAGAGCCGAAGAAGTTGCGTGCTCGGGCTAGAGTGAGAGCGAAACATCTTCGACCGGAAAGAGAGAGAGAGAGAGAGAGAGAGAGGGCGTCTGTCGTGGCCAAGCTGGTGTTGGTGACGTTGCCACAGCACCACACATAAGCGCTATAAATACATACATACATATACACGAGGGCAGTCAAAAGGCGGAGCATGGGATCCAACGAGACCCTAATGGGTTAAAGGGTAGAGGGAGACGACAACAGGGAGTGGGAGCAGCAGTGGGAGCGGGATGGGGAGAGCCAAAGCTGATGCGTTTCACATATATTTTATTTATGTGCGCTTAAAAAATGTAATTTAGTCAAAAAGTCAGGTGATGATGTGATATTTCTTTTCTTTTTGGTCGTTTTTTAAAGGGGGATTTTATTTTTTGGGGCTTGGCTGGGGCAATTTACTTTTTTTTTGGGTTAATTAGATGCTGATTCGGATTGAAAAAGTTGCCCAAAGTTACAGATTTAAAAACTGGCATGCTCATTATGACCTGAAATTGAATAAAATTGAGGTTTATATGGATTTTGTAAAGGGCGTTGGGTAAGTAACTCCATAAATTAAAATGACGCAAGCTATCTTTTTTATAGATACTTATGTTTAACCACAATTTCTAAAGATTTAACACTCTAAACAAGCTTACAAAATAAGTTTGACAAAGGAAATTTCTCATAAAAACATTGTATTGCCTACTTTTATGCGCATAACTAAGTGATTTTTATTTGTAGATGTCTTTATTAACTCTTAGCATATGTAAATAACCTTTAAATCCTACCTAAACTGTGCAAAATATATATTTTATATATTAATAATCCTCTTCTGAGTTTTACAAACAGCAATTTGTTTAAATTTATATAAAAATCAAGGCCATCAACATTGGCATATGTTACAAAAAACCCTTTTTCTCCCCTTCCCACTCTGTGTAAATGTCAATTTGTCATTTTGATCCTCATATGAACGTACATACGAACATGACCGCAAACAAACAATGCCGTTCTTTGGCTGCCAAAAAAAGAAAAAAAGTTAAATTGACGCCAAAAATTCGAAAGGAAAAATAAGAAAGACTCGCCATAGGAAAAACACGTTTAAGCCATTAGCGCGAACCCGTCAATGTGGCAACAAGCGAATTGTTTGCAAAATGAACAGTATATCCTGCTGACAGAGGATATCACAGGACAGTCGTTGGCCAGAAAAAGGACTGCCGAGTGCAGTTCACTAAAAGCCAAATTAATTATGCATGCAACGGCGGCAGTGGCAGTGCCACTGACAGCGGTGGCAGCAGGCAACAACAGCAAAAATCTCAGGAAAATGCAGCATATAAAAGCTCGCTTTTTGTGGCAAGTGTCAACAGCAGTCTATGCACTTGGGGGAATTTTTGGGTAAATTCTTACAGAGATTATATTAAGACTTTTATTATCAAAATTATTTTGAACATATTAATTTTTTGTAGCCTATTCTTCACATACAAAATTAATATGTTCAAAATAATTTTGATAATAAAAGTCTTAATATAATCTCTCTAAGAATTTGGGTAAATTCTTACCCAATATGTTAATATATGTTAATATGTTCAAAATACAAAATTAATATGTTCAAAATAATTTTGATAATAAAAGTCTTAATATTATCTCTGTAAGAATTTGGGTAAATTCTTACCCAATATGTTAATATATGTTAATATGTTCAAAATACAAAATTAATATGTTCAAAATAATTTTTATAATAAAAGTCTTAATATAATCTCTGTAAGAATTTACCCAAATTCTTACAGAGATTATATTAAGACTTTTAATATCAAAATTATTTTGAACATATTAATTTCGAATGTGAAGAATAGGCTACATTTTCAGGGCTTACTTAAAGTTTAAGCCATATATATTTGAATTGAATTGTTTTTTAAACTCAAAATATAGAATGTTATATATATATGTTGTATATTGGTATAAATTAAATTGTTATACGTATTTAAAATGCTATTTTTGTTGAGTAATGTTATAGACTTTTTTTATAACGATTTTCATTAGAAAATATATTTAATTTTTTTTTTAATATGTGTTTTCTTTACTGATTAATAAATATAAATAATAAGAAAACTTATAACTGAAACCGTAGCACTTGGGAAGTATATTAGAACATAAAATAGTTCCTAAATGTGCCTCAACTATCTTTCCCCCTTATCTCCGATTTTCTCAAAGTGTAACTCCTGCCTTAACTCCTCAATTTCTACCTGTCTGTGTGCTGTTTTTATCCAACTCCACTGCCCGTTGCCGTAAAACTATTAAAGCAATTAAAAAATCACTTTTCACTATTTTAGCCTCAATCCAACGTGGGGCAGCTTCTGTTTTTTCCATCTCCTTTGTTTATCTGATTTTATATTTAATTATTCTTTTTGTTATTTCTGTGTTTTTCCTGTGCTCTCATTGGCTGAAGATTTCGCCGACCAATGGCAGCGCTGCTCTGCCCGCGCATGCGTGGCCAACAACAACAACAACGGAAAAGTTAGTACATGGAATACATGGAGAAAGAGATAGCTATTGATGGAGCTGTCGAAGCCGTTAGCTGCCGATTTGCTAATTGCCACGATTTCTTC